AGCCAACTTAAAAACCACTCCCTAAAATCTGCCGAAATGGGCCACGCTTCCACATCTACGCCCCTGAGTCCATCTAGCTTCGTACCAACCTAATGAGACATTTCATCTTAACGCTCGGAAGATATATTCCTTGTCCAATTGAAGCAACGAATATCCATGTGCCGCAGAAGCCACTTGCCATTAAGTGTTACATTTAAAGAAAAACTGAAGTTATAAGCGACTGTATGTTCGTTGTTGTTAAGTGGCTCCTGGAGGCATGAATACACGCTACAGGTGCGCTGTCTCTTCTCTTCTCTTCTTCTTGGATACCTCACAGCCTAAGCCACTTTAAAGAACCATTGTAAAAAATGTACAATATTAATATTTAGGTATATTTATTTTTTCTAGCATATACACCGAAATTATGAAAATTCTACTTATATATTTTATGATTTCTATAAAGTCTCATACGTAAAATTATCTATTAAAATAATAACTTTAACTGATTACGATTTCTGCAATCATTTTATACCCTAAGAATACATTTGGCTTTTAGACAAAGCGAAATATTGATCGCAAGCATTGGGGAACCACTTATGTCTGAAAAATTATTAAATATTAGAAGATAAATCTGCCCAATCGCATTGAGTCAGCGTGGCGAACTCTTCCTAGGCCTTAGGTATAGGGTATATCAGGAATGAAAGTTGTTTGCCCAGCACTGGGACGTATAGGCTGTTACTTCATAATAATTTATGTAATTTACACTTTGTTATAATGTTATTTCCGCTTTCAAGACAATTCATAGACATGGTGTTGTGTAATAAAGTCACAGTGCAGGATAATATGAAGTGTAATTAATTATGCTACGTAGATATTAAAAAAATGTTTCGACTATGAGATCGTATGCCAGAGAGATGTTGATATGTTCCAACTTGTATCAGTCTCGATTTGGGTCCGATATTTAAATGATATTAATTATTTTGGTCAAATTAATAATATATTATGACTATGTCAAAGTTCTTTGAATCTGAAATATTTTAGGAAACGTACGCAATTTTTTTCGTCAAGTGTGAATAGTAGTACATTATCAAATATTTCAACTATCTACCGAAATCTAGAGTCGCTTCATTAAATATTAAGTCGTTTTGTGTGGATTTTATACATTTGTGAGGAACCTCCGATTAATCATTAATCCACTTTTTAGTGCGGTAGTTTACTTACTTTAATAATATATATTTCTTTTAACCTTATTTATATTTCAATCCCTTCTGTATTATATGCCTCATTATTTTTAAGGTAAATAAAGTGCTTATCCAAATTAGTGTGACTACTAAGCCAGTGATAGCAATAGACATACTGATAGTCATATTTCAATGATTATTATGTATTTTGCTTTAAAGTTTTGATATAATATACTTTCAAAATCTACACGAAAATTTTCTTACAATCATCGAGTCGTAAGTTTTTTTTGCAGAATACAACTTTTCTACGGCATACGGTTCAGAAAGATATAGAAGAGAGCTACAATAAATGTAATGATAATATTTTAAGAATATCCACTCTCCCATATCATCCCGTGGGTGTCGTAAGAAGCGACAGGGGGAAACAAATCAGGAGATGGGCTGCAACGTCTTCCTAGTACCGACTAAAAAAAACTGCGTTGCCAACCCCCTTACGAAGAGGCAATCTATGGGGGGCCTAGACAGCAGGGGATTTTAATTAGAGATGAGCCGAATATTCGTTTTATATTCGGTATTCGGCATATTCGGCAGCTTTACCGATATTCGTATTCGGCCGAATATTCGGCTAAATTACCGAACATTCGTTAATGTGGTACTCAAAGTGTCCACTGTATTGAAATGTACAAATTAAGTAATACCATGTCTTTCATAATTTTACTGTTGAAAGTATATTTTATTAATGTGTTAAATCTACTTGTATAGCGTTATGCTTTGATGCACTGTAGATTTATTTCCAATTATAGCTAATAGAAAGCTTGATAAAATGTTTTTGGAATCAAACAAAGAAACATTACATTACATTAGTACATTTCACTTTATTTTGGTCCTCAGTTTCTCTAAAATAAGTCCAAATGGTAGATCTCCTATCACTTATTTTTATCATATAATTATCAATTTTCACGAATTACTCTTTTTCTCACAAAAATAGTCAAAATATAAGCATGTGCCGGCAATTTGCTCAGTACTAGATCATGCAAAAACATGTCAGGTGTGGCGGGTGAGCGAGAGGCAGGTTCCGGCAGTAATTCCGGGCGCTCTACGGTAACAAGTTTCAACAGAAATTGGTTAGGGACCGACGAATAATGTTTGGCCGAATATTCGGTTCGGTAAAAGTTTTACCGAATTTTCGGCTGAATATTCGTATTCGGTGAAATTCATGTTCGGCCCATCTCTAATTTTAAGAGGCTGTAAATGTAACGGTACGGATAATAATTTGCAATTTAAAACAATACATTAATATAAAAAGACATCGATTTATAATCGATACATCACACAATACAACATAACCAACGTAAAACGTCAAAACGCACAATCGTCCTGTAGCTGAGTAGCATCAAAATGCTGAGTCCCTTAAAACATCTTTTATTAAGGTGTAAAACTATGACATCCAAAAGCTCCTTCATCTGGATGTCTGCTACCGTTACCTATATACAGGCACCGTAGAGTGAACCATTCTAAGAAATCCGAGCGAGACTTTTGAATTCATTTTAATGCCTTTTAATTATGAACTAGCCCCCCCCCCCTGGTTTCTTCCTCTTCCTGGTTCATTAAGATTTAATAAAAAAATAATTTAAAAAAATTCAAGTTTTGGGGATAAACATAGCTTAGATCGCGTATATTGAAAATATACAAGTTGTTGTAAGTATGCACAGGTCGAGACTGATCACATATGGTCTCAATTTGTTATGACCACAACTATTTTTAGAAACTATATATGGTTATTACGCTTTTATCGCGTTTACTTTCCAATAAGGTACGCTTAAACTTTGAGCGAAAAACTTGCTGCACTAGTTAAAAACATACATCGAGCATAAACGCGATAGAGTGTATGTTATTAATGTGTGTAGATAGTATTTGTATGTTGTACAAAATAACACTAATATTATAACTAAACTTATAATCACTTCCTGTTCGCCTGACAATTCCGTGATAAAAAAAGAAAATGTACTACTTACTACTTTTATAATAAAAATAATTTTGTCTCCCACAAAGGACTTTTATTTCAACAGTTACTTTTAAATTTGCCATAAAGTTATAACTACATGATTAGTTGATAACTAATTGTTGCAAATGTTTTTAATATAATAACATTTACTTAGTAAATTTCTGAGCTTGTATACCTACTTTACTTACACTTGTTATGCGATTACAACCTAAATGTATACAATGTCAGAAATGTCGGTTCACCTACAAAGATTTCTTTAACCAAATGTAAATGTATTTCCTAACCTAATTATACAGTCAGAACCTATATTGTGTAACCTAAATGTATACAATGTCAGAACATGTCGGTTCTAGCCTTGTGTAACCGCTAAACTAATTTACTGAATGACCGTTGGAAAGTACACGCGACTATTACGCAGAAATAGTACACATTCTGAAAACACACAGTGTAAGAACACTACGAATGCGTGCTGTCCTTGTATACTTTCAATATACGCGACTCGTTCATTTCGGGTGCTTTTCACTAGTGCGATATTTATTATTACCTACTTGTTCACAAACTGCTAACATTTCTCTATCCTAGCATAAAATATGCATATATAATACACAGAAACCTTAACAAAAACTTTTTTGGCGTTGGTAATAACCGCAACGAATTCTATTCCATGAATTTCAAGAAGTTTTTATTTTAATCGAGTTATTAATAGAATTAGGCGTAACTACGTCAAGGGGAAATATCTCCGTTATGCCGAAAATATTGCAGCATTAATTTTGAAATAAATGTATGGTAATGTTGAGGATTAATGTTAAGGAAGGAAAAAAAATCCAAAGTCACCTCCAAAATAAACAATAAACCGCTGTTATTCATAAAATACTTTAAATAAGATCATGAAACTTTGCATACTAACTGAAATAACTATAAAGCAGTGCTTATGTTATTTACATTTTTTTAAATACCATTATTTTCACTGTAAAAAGAAATTACCTAAACTATCGGCCTCTTGAAGCGTGATTCCTGCCGCCCGGTCAGTTTCGCTTCAGCCTTTGAAGGGGGAGGTTGTGTTGCTTACGATCAGAATACACATTACGCAACAGGACGACGTAAAATTAAAATGGGAAATAACTGTAATAAAAAAGGAGCGACTGGCTTGTCGTTAAGAAACAGGCATAAATATGATGAACCTAATGAAATAAGTGACTAACGACCTATCTACTTACAGTATTAGTGATTACAAACATGTCGGTACATAGTATACGACGCGCAGACAAGTGGGGGCGAAATTAGAATTTGAGCTGACTTACTATATCCCCTTAATAGTAGATTATATTGAACATATTAAAATTAATAAGCTAAGATCCTGATGAAAATTTCTTACTTATTTTGAGGAGCATATCCCGCCCTCCCTCCTATCCTCGTCACCGCTAATCCCAGAACCACCATCGTCGATAATACGATCTCTGTTTCTCCTGGTGATACTTCGTTTAAAGGCGAAACACGTGTCATATTACCGACAATGGTGTCTTGCCTAGTGTTTCCTAGTGCAATTGAGGGAGGGCGGGAGATGCTCTTCAAACTAGGTATGTAAAACAAGCAAATCATTTAAACCTCTTTAATTTAATCGAAAACGCAAACTTTCAAAACGACAAAGGTTTATTACATTCAAGTTATACACATACTTAGTTTTACCAAATATGTCTGAACTTATGACCCGCTAAGCAAGATAATATATTGTAATATTCTTACTTTTAATTTTTCTGTGAAAACAGCAAAGCTTACATAGACTGAATTTTTACCACGATTTTTTAAAACACATGCCATTTGAATATGTTTCCGCATTATGACTCCAACCAGTCGGTCTCAGTAATCATCGCAACATTCTCCCCCTTTCCAGGAACATACGCAAACTCCCACAGCGAGTTGGCCAACACCAGGGTTTCACCTTCGATCAATTCAAAACTCAATGTGTAACAGACGTCTTGGCAAGGCGTTCGGGGTTTAAGTTGCACAAAATTCTTTCCCTTTAGCTGAGACATGATAATCAACCCTACGTCCAATTCAAGGTACTTATGTCTGTACGTGTCGTAGTTTTTAGATAGTAGGAGCCAGTTGAAGTGAGATGGGGGGATATGTGGCGACAGGAAATACGGTCTAGGCGCGAGAATTCTAAACGACTTCACAGCACGTATATCGCAGTTCTGGAAGTGAACGAACCAGCTGGGTATCTTTGTATTGGTTATTCGCGAAACGATTTCCTCTAGGTCCATTGGCTGTCGACCAAGTCTGATGTTAGTGAGGATCCTACAGGGTACCGAGTCTCGTAGGCGATCGTCGTCACCGATAAAGCTAGTGAGGTTAAGCTCCGAACGAGTAATAGACCAATCGTAGAATGCGTCTTCTACGATCACTGGGGCCCCTCGTAGCAAGTGATGGTTGAACACGTCGTTGTAGTTTGTATCTGCTAAGCGGGCGATTGTCTCTGTAAAATTAAAATATAAACAAGTCCAATGGTTGACACAGTAATTTAATAAACCCGACTTCGTAAAATTTTGTTTTTTAATAGAATTAGGGTGACAAGCGAGCACACAGCCCACCTGATGGTAAGTGGATGCTATATATCGTATATATAGACATGTATCCTCTATCTATGAAGAATAAAAATGCAGATCACTCCTGAGGACTAAGATGGAATGCTTTATTTCCAATAAAAGGTTCTCAGGTTCTCTACGCTCACCATTCGAAACACAGCAGCATAGCGCTTCTATTTTACGCTGGTATTCTGTGAAAGCGTGTATTTTCCCAGTCAAGCCGACCCATTCGTGCTACAACCATAAAATAGCTGTAGAGAGGCTCCTACCACGTAAATGTCGGTGTACACGTGTCACTTTACTGAAAATATATTTTATTAAACGTCACTTCCACAATGGAGACGAATTGAACACCCCATATGTTGAAATCCATCCAGACGTTTAGGCTACTGAGCGTGCCAAATAAATATACGTATATTTACAACATACATTCAAAACATATTATCCTCTTGTTAGGGCCAGCGGGTAAAAATATATCATGTGTAGATTGCAATCCAATTTTAAATTTATGTTGCAGAAGTGAATGGCAGAGTCGGAAAGGGACATCCTAGGCGAAAATTTATCGACCAAATTGGCGATTTATTGAAAACGGGCCAAATTAGGAGTACCATTAACCGAAGAGCATGTATGCGTAGGTGTATGGATGTGAAGGAGGCGAGAGGGGTGTGTCAGGATCGTGCCAAATGGAAGTCTGTAGTCTCTGCCTACCCCTCTGGGTACATACATACATACATAAACACAGGCGTGAGTGTTTATGTATGTATGTATGTGTAGATTGCCTTTATTTTCTATTGAGCCAAAATTGAGGGTTTGCTGGGGGCCAGCCAGACTCAGTGAGGAAGTGAAGATTAGCCAACGTGAGCAGATGTTTTTGGCATTTCAAATAGACTAATTTGCTATGTCTAGACAATATAAATACAGGAGCTGTGTTAGTTAATTCTATAAATCTATTTTAAAAAAAAAGGTAAACTTGTACGTGGATGCTGTCATTGTTCCATTTCATCCAGTACAGCCTATAAAAGTCCACTGCTGAACATCGGCCTGGTATTGTTTCGTTGGGGGGATTTTGCTATAGTTGACAGGTCTGGAACGTGTGTCGTCAACCGCAGTTACCAGGATGGTGTTGCTCCCCATCTCCTGTTGCAGTTGCCCTCTGTCGCCTCTCAGGACACCCTCGGGACGATATGGGCTAGTGGATATTCTAACACCGCCACTACACAACCCATGGTGTGTGCTGTGGACCATAGATATTTACATCTGTCCTTTACTAAGAATCAAATACAGACGCGTTTTCACCTTTGAGGGCTAAAATGGAATTAAACCAGTAAAAACCTTCTATTATCCACCTTGTCCCCTAACCCAAATTTTGACCGTGATGTAGTTGCTTCCTGAATCCGGGCTGCTACAGAGAATTTCCTGACTGAAAAATCCATTAACTGATTTCAGCCTGACGCCAAATTCGAATTCTTGGCCACATAGTCAACAGTTGCACTTACTACCACTAGACTAAAGGGGCAGTCCCTACAAACCTAACCATACGAAACAGCAGTGTTATGCTTCTATTGTATGCTAGTATTAGTAATATAGTACCTAGTATAGTCCTCCAAAACCGAATTTAGGTTACCGCGGCCGGCCTCAACAGAGACTAGCCATCGGCGCAGGACAGGATTATAATGCTAGAGTGTATGCGAAAGCACAGGTGCACTCTCTATTCACTCACTCTCGTAATCCGATGGGACTGTAAACCGACACGACCAGAAAGAGATCAGGTGCAGAACCAACAGCTTTACGTGCTTTCCGAGACACGGAGATGAGACACCGCTTACTTCCTGACTCCGGGCAGCGCCTAAGAATTTCTTGATGAAAAGTACTCTCAAAATATATATATATATATATATATATATATAATTAATTAAACTCAATAATTGATTTTTTTTAGCTCGACCCAGGAATCGAACCCAGGATCTCATAATCAGCAGTCGCACTACTACAACCACTAGACCAACGAGACAGTCAACGAGCCGAAATATTCGTGTTATAGTCATAACACAGCTTCAACATGGCTCTACCACGTATAAACCTTTTTATTATCTCACGAATATAACTTTTTTTTCAAGCTATTAATATTGATATAGGTTATAGATAAATTTGATATAGGAGAAGAAGCCTACTTGCAAATGTTATTATTATCTAAGCATTTGCAAAAAACAATAATGAATAGTAATATAGAGAAATACACAGCATAGTCATCATAGGGTACTCAGCTTTGCCCAGTAAACCCAGGGGTTTTGGTAGCTTTCCGAAAATTAATTTATTACATAACTATGTTTTTAATTATCCTAAAACTAAAAAAAATATTTAATTTTACTTATCATAGTGTATAGTGTTTAGGGTCTTTATTAGAGCCCTTCACAAGTCTATTGCTGAATATAGGCCCCACTAAGGAATGCTACAAAGCACGGTCCTAAGCCATCTGCATCCATCGACTTCCTGCATCTCTTTCCATGTAGTCACTACTTGGATTAAATAAAACGAATTTTCCTCTCTCCTTGGAGCTGACAAAAAACCGTAATAATATTCATATTACTTACTGATAGATTCACATGAAATGCAATCCGCAGGGGAAACAAAATCGTTCTCCACATTATGCGGCTGCGATCTCTCTATTAAGCATTTATTATAGTATAACGGAGTCCAATCCCAAATTGGTAACAGCCTTATCAGTGTCATTCGGGCAATCGCTGCCGCGTGCCACTGGAATGTTTCCGTTTGGCTCACAGTGTATCCAATTGCTATTACCATTACGAGAAATAGAAATGCGCGAGTCAATCTTTTAATGGATGCTTTTCTTACAGCCGTTGTTAATGGACGGCAAATAATTTCCATTTCCTCGTCAGTCATCCCCGCCTCTTTACAATATTCATAAAACGAACGCACTTCTGAGTTAATAAACTCGAATTTTTCCCGTTGGGTCATTTTTGCCGCGTTTTTTAGACTCATTTTTAAAGCCTACAATTACAATTAACACCACAACCACACCGCGATCAATATCAAACTTGCATTGCATTTGAGAAGGCTTATCGATAAACGAATTTCGCGCGCGCGCGATAAAGTCTTTCCCTACCTTACCATAGACACTAGAATAGGTTTCAAAAATGAAAATTAAGAAATATAATATAGTATGTAAAATAAATGTAACATTTATTTTTCTATATTATATTTGATAATTTATGTTTTTGTTTTTATTTATAGTTTATACCGAAATTATCTATTAAACTCAATTATTATGCTATTATTATGACAGTAAGAAACAATACAATGTTGATAATGATTACGAAATAATCTCAGTTAACGCATAATTCAATAACCGTTATATTGACTAGGTTGTAAGAAGCATGTTAATTAATTTATCATAAATATGCAAGTTTTGATAACTTTATTTTTAAAATAAACTTTATTTAATTATTTTTGCCAACACATCATCAAAAGCAGACTCCTAACAATTATTATTTTGATATGGCAAGTCAACTAACCTTTTCCGCCATATTGAAAGTTCGTAAGTGGAAGTCGATCAAACACCAACCTTTTATGAGATTGGTATTTATTGTGAAAAAAACAATAATTAATTAGGTAACCTAAAATTTACAACATTCATTTATTTGGTTGTTACAAGTGCTAGTGAAGTTTCTAACTACGTTTTGTAATTTTTGCAATTCTTTTGATGAATACGTCACAGCGCCATGTTGTATTCCTGCGCTGATTGCAGGCACGAGAAATCTGCCAACCCGTTTATTTTCTGGGATTAGTACCCGAGAATAAATCGAATTGTGATTTTGTACTCAAATATATTTCAGTTTATATTTGTCGGCAAATGTCAAACAATTTTAGTGAATTAGATGCATCCCTGTTGTCGCATTTCGAGTGTTAACTCATAATTTCAACTGCAATTTAGTGCATACGCGAAAGTTGAAAGGACTGTGTTGTAAAAGAAAGAAGTGATAATTAGCCAAAATTCCGGTCCCCACGCGCAGACGAGAAGGTGCCTACCCGCCAGGGCAGTCGGGCGAAGGAGATATGAACAACAAACGCAAAAATCGCCAAGGGCCGCCGAGGTAAGATCTGTTAAAGTACACCAACTTTCAGCATTGATATGACATGTCTTTGTTGTTCGAATTAAACGTTGATCGCTTTGCGAATACTTGGTATTCCCCTTGTCAGATTGACAGATTTTAGAAGTATAGCGAGCGTGGGTTATAATAAAGAGTGTAAACAAAACGCTGGATATCAAGTACCGTGCGACTCGAGACACGCCGCCGTTGCAGTGCGAGAGCTACGAACGCGGTCGTCTTTAGATGTTTGCCCTACTTTAGCAGCGTACAATCACGATTAGCAGAATAGCTGCTTGCAATCAGCTGATCCCAGCGCCTGTGTAATTTAGACATTTTGATTGAAGTGAAATTTCGAGCGATATTTCCAAAATCATAAATATTTGTAAAAATATGGGTTAAATATCGATTATCCTAAAATTACAGACAGATAATGTTCATTTATGTAAATTTTCGGCATATAATCCTTTTGCCTTGCTACTGTTAACCATTTTTGGCAATCCTCCAAAAACCTACATTTTTGAATTAATTATTTTGTCCTTCTTTTCAAATCAACTAGTTTTTTTTTTGTTTTTTGCATTACAATAAATATTTTTAAATGAGATTAATACCTTTTTTTTGTTGCTTTTCCATTGTAGTGTGATGTTAAATGATGTATAAATTTAAATCTAAATATGTTTCATCTATTAAAAGACTTAAAAATATAGAAACACAAAGAAAATAAGCAATGAACAGTATGTACTACTAAATATAAGGACTAAATTACCACCTTTCTCACTTTACGTGTGCAGGATTTTTGTACAATTTGTAAGTGTGTATAATGCCAGATCATACTACCTATATGTACCTTTAGTATATTAATGAATTTATTCATTCATTACAGGCGTTCCAAACTCTTCTGCTGAGCATAGATTCCCACATAGGAGGTATATTTGTCGTAGTTGCATTGGCGGTCACAGTTTTTTATTATTTAGATTTGTTATCAGGTAGCCGCTGCTGGCCTACCTACTGTTTCATTTCTCTGTAGCCTTTTACATCACTCACTGGATAATATTGGGTATATAGAATACACAAAACAATGTTAGTAGATAATTACATTATAATGGGTGCGTTTGGCAGAAAAAAGCGCTTACAAGCGCTGAAATAGTTTTCGGCCAGGACACGATTGCTACTTCAGTAGCGCTGACACAATCCGCCATTTTGCTTATTTAATTTGTTTGTTTTGAAGTAGAGTTTATATCGTTTTTTTGTGCAATGTTAGTTTTAAGTAATATAATGACATGAATAGACATATACATGTTATTAAAAATTCATGATTAGTAAGTTTTTAATATGAATACTTTACAAACATATATTTAAATTAGGTTAGGTCCCCCGCTTAAAACTAACTTCGTGTCCTAGAGGAAAATAGCTACTTTCGATTTGACAGCGCTTACCGCTTACGATCGCCATTTTGCTTACAAGCGCTTGCTAGCGCTTTTTTCTGCCAAACGCACCCAATTTTCACAAATTCAATTTTTTATGTAACAGTAAGTAAAGTAAATTTACAACCTATATACGTCCCACTGCTGGGCACAGGTCTTACCTCATTTCTGAGAGGGTTTTATGGCAAAGAAGTGTACGCTGCAATGCTCCAATGCATGTTGGCCGACTTCACATGTCTTCGAAATATTATTTTTCTTATTCCTCAGACATGCAAATTTCCTCACGATGTTTTCCTTCACCGGCGAGCATGTGGTAAGTCAGCACTTAAAATTGCAATTAACAATTTTATTAGTGCTGGTGGGTATCGAACCCGGGTTACTTGCGTTCGGTTATATTTACAGCGAGTGTTAACCATCTGAGCTACCACGGCTCTATTCATTAGCATTTTTTATGTAATAAATTACAATTGTTAGAATATTTAAATACCACAAGAACACAAATATTCAACAAACTTTTCAGGCATGTGACATAAGAGATTACATGGGACATCTGGTACTTGATTTTAATTATGTTTTCAGCTTAGGAGGCTTGTTAGGGTTAAGCTTGAACCTTTTGCATTGTTTTTGGATGTCTGAAATGCATTTTGAATTAATTGCAATAAAAATAAATTTCACTAAAAATTGTATATGACGGAGCACAAATACAGTGGATTTCATTTATTATGACCTTGGTTGTAGGGACCATGTACCTATAGTGACGTTAAATCTAGGTCCCTTGAACAGTAAAAAAAAATAAAAACAAATTCTTAGAAATCCCATGCAAATATTGTGACTGGAGTCTGCCCCCAAAGACACAAAGATTTCTTTCCTTCACAAACATTTCTTATCTTTTGTTTACATCTACACAAATGGTCAGCAAGTGTGGAGACCTTTACCTTTTGTTTATAGATATCAGCTAAGGTAGGTAGGAGAGCATGTATGTTTAGGAGTTAAATTTATGGTTCAGTTATAAAGTGATATTCTGAGTAGCATTTTGAAATGTACCAGTGAATAACTATGTGTGCAAATATTTTCAATAATAAATGAATATAAACTATACATGTGTACGTGACTGTATCTCTATACCTTTGCCTGTAACGACTTCCGGATATAAAGACGAAAATTGAGTGGTCCCTTTATCATCCTTATACCCGAAATCCACTGTATGTCAATTTGATCTAGTATTATGAAGTAGATGTCCAGTACTCAATTTTATTTATTATTTTAGGGAGGTTTGTCAGAATTAAACTTGAATGTTTTACTAACTTGAAATGTTTTTTAATTAATTATGATAAAAATATATTTCACTAAAATTTGTACATAGGAAAACGCAACACCCATAAAAAAGTTTATCACTCAGACCCAGATAATCCATTTGTGGCTAAAGATTCATACAGACTCATACACAACAATTGAGTAGCAATGGAGAGCGATCAAGAGGTTTTTCAAAAGAGAAAATTATAACAATTTGCATTACATCGTTTCATTTGTATCACTATTATAGCAGAGTTTTGGTCAAACTGACTTTATACATAAGGTAAGTTGAATCTGTACTAAAAGCGAATCAGCATGTCCCAACTTCACGTAATCTTGTCTGCCTTACCCCTAGAGTTTTTGTAAAGATGTATGCGCAAAGGGAAAGCAGGCACCACCTGCCCTAGCAAAAAATCATTTTTTATGAACTATACTTTTCCACAAGGGAAAGGGTATATGGGGTTTCCCCTGAACTTACCCTCTCCCTCGCCCCCCTTCCATCCCTCTGTGCAAGTACCAGATGTCCATAGTTTCACAGATTGCACAATGAACACAGCTAGGAAGAAAATACATAATTGGTTGCTTATTCTCGATTATGAATAAACAGAGAAGCTGCTCCAAATATTGTCATAGTAACTATATGCTGTAATATTAACATATTATATAATATGTATGTGAGTGTGTGTGAATATTTATGTGTTATTACTTTTACAGTTTTCTACATTGATAAACTCCGTAAGTTATGCAGGTTATATAATATGAAAAATACTTGTGAATTCTGTCAGTTCACATTTGAGCAGCATGGCAGACGTTTTCTGCATTAAAACCCTTTTAGAAATGAGAGCTCTTGTATGTCTTCCTGTGAGCCTTTAAGTTATTACTTTAATAAAATAAAGTATAGAAAATGATATATCTATATCTTTAATTCGATGCAATCAATGTATCATAATTACACAGACTAAAATTATTATTTATATTATTTAATTATTATACAGAAAAAATTTTCCCCAGTTTAGTAATAGTATAATAAATAATGACAATTAACTATTCTTATTTCATTCAAAATGCATCAATTCTACATTTCATATTTTGTATGTTAGTGATATGATTTAATTAGCTAGTCAAAAACAACTTTCAGTTCAATTGAATATTC